TTATGTTCCAGTGGTTGAAATTAAAAATTTCTGTGGTGGGGACCAGTCTAAAATTGTCCATGGAAATTTTTGGTTGATTCACACAGCGACACCTATTTTATGACTACTGTATAAAAAAAACTAAACATTACATTTTTTTATGAAGATTGGAGAGCCGTGCTTGTAGGCAATTGTTTTCAGATGATCTTTTCATGAAATTTGGCCTCATTTAAATAGTCCCCCCATCACGTCTTTCATGTAAATTAACTCATTGATTTTTGGGAGTTATTGGAAAGCAGGTCAGGCTAATCGCTGTACACCACAATGCAACCATTGTGTGAGAAAGTGGCAAAACTGTGCAGGAAAAATGTATTAATTACTTAGTGAAATGAAAATAATGTATATAAAACTATAAACGCTTCATTTCTTGGCTGCAGCTCCTCTGGAGGAATTAGATAAATGAAACATTTTATCCGATTTATTTTTGCATCATCGAGGTACAGAGCCAGTTGTGGAAATTCCACATTCCCTCGGCAGTGGGCGGTTCCTATCGAACAACCGCTGTTGATTTTGCGCAAAGTAAAGTCGGAGCGTCTCCCGGCTCAATCTTGCACTGGGCCGCTCATATCCATTGACGGCCCTAGCAAGTGCCAGAAATTCCACATTGCTGTAGCAGGAGCCATTCCCTCCAAATTACCACCACACCATTGACTTCCCACGAAGCGCTTCACATTTCATCATCCCCACGGCCCGTGGATGATATTTTCCGAGTCGACCCCCCCCTCTTCCCCCCCCCCACCAATTGAGACAAGAACCCAGGACCCTCCAACCTGCCAGTTTGAGCACTCCAACCACAGCGTGCCACTTTGCTTCGCCAATAAAACGCTTGTGCGTCGAAACCTCTCGAGCAGACGAAATCCTGAGTCAGTCCTCTGACGATCGGGATGCACTTTTCATGGCAAAAGAGAGCGAGAGGAGAGAGAGCATGGACGCCAGCCAACGGCAGTCATGCGCCTCCGCAAACCGATTAGGCGCGGGTCGGTATTTGCGTCTTTTGTGGACACTCGTGTAGTTGTTTGGAGAAAACAGGCGTGCGCTTAACCCCCCGCCAGCCACGATGGGAGTGGGGTTGGCGTGGGGCTGCGTTGATCCGCCTCCACTACGGCCTCTCTTAAAACGGCGGCCAGGAAAGCACACTGGGCACTCGACGAGGAGTCCCGCTCAGTTTATCCTTTCACCACGAGCCCGGAGTTCGGGTGGGGGGTGACGGTGTTCACTCAACGGCAGCTGTTTTGGCGTAGGGTAAGCAAAACGTGGGAGGTGTGATATAGAATAGCGATCGAATAGTCATAGAATGTGGGTCAAGAAACTGTAAATATTTTCACGAAGGGAGAAGGTTTTGATTGTTGGGCGATGTGTGCAGGATAGAAGAGGAGGGCAAGTTACTGAGACGGGCTTTGGAGGGACACCAAGAAGTCAGCGACCAAGGGGAAGACCTAAAGCCAGATAGCAGCGGTGGTGGCGGTGGTGGCGGTAGTGGTGGTGAGACTGGAAGAGCGGCCCTTGGAGATTCGGTGTCGACACTGGAACAGCTAAAGGATCTAGACCAGGGGTCAGCAACCTGCAGCTACAGAGCCCCATGCGGCTCTTTAAGGACCGTCTCGTGGCGTTATTTATTTATTGTGACCACCGTCTCATATTCACGTGCGCTGCGGCTCTTAGAATGTTGGGTTTTTTACCGAATTTGAGAAAAATGGCTGCTCTTGTTTTGGTTGCCGTCCCCATGATCTTAACAGAAGGAAGGAAACGTCCGTGAGGTGTGGTGGGATGAACGTCATTGACCCCCGATGAACCTCTTCCCTTAGTTTAATTTCGTTACTTGTTTAATTCCTCAATTCAATAAAAAATGTTGTATATTTTTTATTTATAATATATGCAGTTATCCTACTCGCACTCTGTAATTAAATTAAACACTTGGAGCTGTCCAATGCTGAGTCGAGCTCTAACACACCCGCGAGAAGTTGACAGCACTGTTTTTATGGAGAGACTCATCCTTTCCATGGCAAGGTGGATCTTCCACCACCTGATAAGTGCTGCTCATAGGGGATGAACGACGAACGATGCTCGTTTGTTCAAGGAGACTTTCATAAGTATCTGTCTGGAAGTGTCTCTTGTGGAATAAGTGGAAGAGGAGGAGGAGGAACAGTGGCGGAAAGGCAGATACCACACGAGTAGAAATCACAGTATTCTCTCGTTGTTCGCGAGGGATACATTTTGGACAGGCTCGTGAATAGCAAATGTCGCAGATAATGATATTTTCATGAATTACCTAAAATAATGATGTAAATAAGCTTTCTATTTCATCACTATCTCATCATTCTGTCTCGTCACATTCTCTCTCATCACTTTTTAATCACTTTTTTCATCACTTCATCACTTTTATCATCACTTTTTTCACCACTTTATCTCATCAATTTCTCTCTCTCACGATGCAGTCATGTAGAGTTCCAGATGCGATTCACAGATAGCCAATATCGTGAATAGCCAAGTTCGTGAATAACGAGGAAATGCTGTATATTCACACGAGTGGAAATAACGTGAATTTTACAAACCCAATTTCGTCGACCTGCATTACTCGTGCCAACGTGGACAATTAAAGTAATTCGGGAAAAAAGAAGCACGATACGATTTCTTGTGAAAGGATTGTATAACGCGGCTCTGCGGTTTATTTTTGTCTCGATGACCTCCATTTCATCTGCTGTTGTGTTCTGTTTGTTCGTTCGTTTCTCAGTCCGCTTGTCATGGTGAGGGTCGCGGCAGCAGCATGTTGAGTAGGGCGGTCCAGACCTCCTTTTCCCAGGCGTCCCCAGGCCAGCTGAGCGACATAGTCCCGCCAGCATGTTCCTGGGCCGGCCCCGGGGTCTTCGTACAGTGTTGTGTTTTTGTGCACCCAGGAAAGCATCGTTGCTGCGTTGGCCACTGGAGCCTTCAAATGTGGCCGGTGTGCTTAAGTTACAACGCGAGTGGCAGCAGCGGGAAGGGTAGAGTATGACCTGCGAAAAATGCCGTAATCGTCATACAGAGCCACCCGTGTATAGTCTGAATCCTAACCTATAAGCTCTAACCCAAAATCAAAGGCTGGTTCCCAGGTCTTAATACGTATGTATATTGAACTTCTTTCGCACTGTTCTTAAGAAATTAGTTTTCAATACAGAGCTCTAATATCAGAAGGAAGAGCATTGCCAACGGCCGCAGAAGCGCTTGAGAAAGCGCGCGATGCAGTGACCTTGTAAATACATCCTGAGCTCGAACTTGAGCCTCGTCCCTATTGGGAGATTTGCATTACCTTGTGGCTATCTCTGTTCACGCTTTTGTTCCCTTCGTTTTCCTGTTTCGCCACCGCCTATTTCTTCATCGAGCAGCGTTTGCTCGCATCGATTTTTCTCCCATTGAGAGTCTGGCTGGCGCTCGTGGTTTTTTAGGGTATTAATGTGTGTCATGCATGACAATGTGTTTGCCACGCTTATGTATTTGTTTACATGACCAGGTATACCTATGTGCAAGGGCTCCTGCTAGAGGGGGTCCCAGACAATGAATGCCTGTGGCCGGGCAATAATGCCACATGCTCGTATTGCAGCACTGTGGAGGAGGACATCAGGGTTGGTGGATCGCACAAATGTCGTGAAATTCCCTTCCCTTGGGCACCGAGGTGCCATACCCTGGCGGTACAGCTAATGTGGACCCCCCCCCCACCTGTTCCATCAGTATGGGAAAGAGTATTGCCCCCTTGCACAAATCGTTTATTTTTTCTAGGAGTTCCAGATTACAGAACTTGGGGGTAAATTTGGTGCTGGATCTCCGCGGAGCTGCCTTACCCCCTTGCCTATTGTTTTTCACGCCTCTGAGTCTGTCTCTGAGAACGGGCCAATACTGTGTGCTTGTTTTGTTCGAGTTGAAGTTATTATTTATAAACTCTGCGCTGCACAATATTTATGTACCTCATTTCGTTATGCTTAAAAGGCCACGTTGACCGTACATGAGTTAATGCGTGGTTCTGTGTCTCCATATTCGGGAGACAACATCACCGTTCGTAGCTAGACCCACGTCTCAACCAGTCGGGAGTTGACTCTACTTGGATAAAATGAGTGCCCACTTTGTGGGTCGTGAACAGCTATTGTCTTATGGACAAAAAACTGGACCTTGGCATGGGTCAGTGGGATTTCCACCGTTGCCTGAGAATCACCAGTCGAGGCGAGCACCACGCCGTGGTCTTGATCATTTGAGAAGTGAGATCAAGTCGAGTGTAGGGCAGGGAAACCTTCAGAGCGGCTGCCTTACAAGCAAAACGTTATCGGCTTGTATCTCGCAGCGGATCTGCTTTCAGCGACCATAACCAAAAGCATGGCTCCGTTTGCCTGCAGGTGGGTTTTGTGCAGATAGACGAGTGGACCCTTGCTCTTTGCTTTTCATACGTTTCCCTGCAACTTGCTCACATCGGAATCCTGTGTGAGAGTCACAGGTGTTGGGAGTTTACGATTATTGGCTTGCTGGCTACGTCCGGCCAATCACAGGTTCCGGGCAGAAATGTCGTAAGTGTATTGGCAACGTTGTTAGCATTACCACATTTCTGTTTATAGCGACACGTTGCCCCTTGGGTGATATCACATGTACCCCTTCACAAGAGTTGCCACTGGTGTTAAAGCACGTGCGTCTACGGTACTGATCACTTTCTTCCTTTGACATTTAGCGTAAGGCGATCTAAGTAGGTTTTAATTTAGTTACTCACGCACAGCAATAGCGCAACGAGTGTGGCATCTTGAGACTTGGTGAGGCTTTGCTGGATCATTAAACGAGATTAGGATTCATAATCTATATCAAAAGCCACCCTCAACCCTTGCTGGATGAAGGCTTCCCCGAGCCAAAGCCATCTCTCGCCATCCTGCTACTCAACAATCCATCGGGTTCCTCCACACGAGCTCCCGTCTTCAGCGGCATTACACCTCTTGGGCACGTGCCATCTTTCGGCTGCCACTCCGTCGTTAGACTTAACCACCGGCCATCGTCACTTGACGTGAGGCCTGCCCAAGCCCAGTTACTTGACCGTAAATATGGTGCCTCCGATTGGTTTGTGTTTGCTAATCCGCGCGTTCCCTGTTTGTTTTAAGTTACAATTGCAAGCATGGACCTCCTGTGCTTATTTGTGCACTTTTCAGCTTTTGTTCCATTCTCTTTGTTGATGTTTCCATGTTTCTGATCCGTATGTCATAGTCAGGTAATACACACACAGTTAAAGGCGCCCAGACTTTGGTCATTAGGTTTTCACGGCCACCAACCATTGAGCAACCTGTCCTGCCCAACGCCACATTTCTTAAAGTATATAAGAGCGGTCCTTAAAAGGTTTAATGTCTTTCTCACGTCATTCTCTCTTTGTCTTCTCACCATTCCCCCCCCTTGCCCTCACCAAAAAAAGACAGATCCCCGTATAGCCTTAACAGATTGTTGGGGGAAGTGCTGTAAGCGACCATCTATGAAGCCCGGCACGGCACACGAGGGGGTGGTTGGCCAGCAACACGCCCGACTGCCTTTGTCTCCCCAGTGGTGATGTTTACTACACACCGCACCAGGTACTCATTTGAGGATGAGTCGGCCTAGGGGAGGCAAAGGACCGATTCAGATATTCGTGACTGCTGTTATTCGTGAGTGGGAATCAAACTCGGGTTGCCGGGTTCGTAGCGCAGCGTGCTAACGCTTGCACCACCGCTCCCCACTATGCACACATACACACGCAGGCGGAGGGCGGTGGCGCGGTAGACAGAATGGCGGCGGAGGGTGTGCCGCGGTATGAGGAGGCGGTGGTGATCCTGGACGCAGGCGCGCAGTACGGCAAGGTGATCGACAGGCGCGTGCGGGAGCTGCTCGTGCAGTCCGAGATCCGGCCGCTGGACACGCCGGCCTTCGTGCTCAAGGAGCAGGGCTTCAGGTGCTCGCTGGCAACGCGCACATGCACTCGCGCTGCTAGACCCACACTCACATAAACACATACAGACACAACTGCACTTATGTATTTATGCATGTTGAACTTCTTTCGCACCGTACGTAGCCAACCGTGCTAATCGGAGGTGCACTTACATTGACATACAAAGACAAAGATCCTCCATTAAGCCTGAACAAACGTTTGAGGCAAGTGCTGTTAGCGAGCACCTATAAAGGCACACGAGGAGGTGGGTGGCCAGGTAAGGCCCACTGAGCTATATAGCTCTTTTTCAGAAGTGGCCTGGCCACAAATGAAAGCTCAAAAAATTGGCTTATCACGTGAAAATGTATAGTAGCCAAATACTCTTAACGCACGTTGATTCTAAATGTGGAGGGAAAACCGGAGGACCCAGAGAGTAATCCACGAGGCCACAGAGACACGCAAACTAGAAATATACAGCAGGCGTCAGAGATGGGTTCGAACCCACGACTTCCTGCATACCTGGCGAGGTAGTTAACATCTCGCCACCGTGGCGCCCACCTAAAGGGGGGGGGGGGGGGTGATACCCCAAGTGCCTGCCGAACGTACGAATTGAACGCTGGCATCTCTGTACGTTGTTTGTGATGCAGGGCGATCATCATCTCCGGGGGGCCCAACTCTGTGTACGCGGAGGACGCGCCACGGTTTGACCCTGCCATCTTCACGCTTGGCGTCCCCGTGCTCGGCATCTGCTACGGCATGCAGGTGCGTCGTAGCTGTTGTCGGCTGTGTTTTACCGTTCGGGAAACTGTTGTACGTTTTTGACTCGCCACCCAACTTGGACATCTGTTTCAGATACTATAAACTATAAACAAAACTTTTAACTATTTAAAATTTTACCAGGTAAGGTCCACTGAGCTTTATAGCTCTTTTTCAGAAGCGACCTGGCCACAAATGATAGCTCAACGAAATGGCTTATTGTGTGGAAATGTATAGCAGCCAAATGCCCTAAATGCACGTTTCTAAATGTGGAGGGAAAAACCGGAGGGCCTGGATGAATAATCCACAGCGACCACAGGGAGACGGATCGAAATACAAACTCCAAATATACAGCAGGTGTCAGGGTCGGGATCGAACCCATGACCTCCTGCATTCCAGGCGAGGTAGTTAACATCTCGCCAACATGACACCCTGTTCAGATGCTGAACAAGGTCTTTGGTGGCACGGTGCACCGGACCCCGACGCGGGAGGACGGGCAGTTCGCCATCAGCATCGACAACAGCTGCTCCATCTTCCGGTAACGTGGCCCCCACGGGCGCACGTCGCCACCCACGCACAGCGGCTTCTGGAAGATCCGTGACCAGTGCTTACTGGAAAGCGCAACCTGACTACGCAATCTGGCACCGTTTAATTTGTTAATCGATATTCTGAAACTATTAAGCCAGTTAATCTTTCTATCCTTATGTAGAAGGATCATCGTCTGTACAGTTAGCATACTAGTAATTTCTTGGTTGTTACCCAGTGTTAGTTGAGGGGAGTGGTGGCGCAGTGCCGTTGTCACTGGATATGGAAATTTGGCGGTGCGCGTGAAAATGACTTTACCGCGGATTACAAAAGGAAACCTTATTATAAAGACGTCAGACAGCTCGGGACGTTCACACGAAAGCAGATTGCTGTCTGCCCCGAAGAGGAGCTCGATGACGGCCTCCTGCCCCCCACTGCAGACTGACGGGGCTGCTGTGTGCGCGCGTTCCGTGCTGTTTGTCCTCGTGTAGGGGCCTGCAGAAGGAGGAGGAGGTGCTCCTCACGCATGGGGACAGCGTGGACAAGGTGGCCGAAGGCTTCAAGGTCGTGGCACAGTCCGGGAACCTCGTGGCCGGTGAGAATCCGCGACGCCGTCGCCCTCCTCCGCGTTTTTGACCGCGTACTTCGCCAGCGGTGTGCGCTCAAGGTCAAAGGCGGCTAGCCAAAGGAAGTGTGTGTGTGTGTGCATGACGCCACGTAGTGGGGCATATTGCTTAACAATAAAATTCATATATTTATCTTGTGTTTGTTTAGTCGGAGAAATAATCAACCAGACTTCCTTTAGTGTCATTGTCATCAGCCTTGATCTGTTCACTAGTGGCTGAAGACCTCCCCACGCTGCTTGCCATAAATGAACCTCGCTGAGCTCCTCAAGGGGCATAAACCGTCACGCGAACTCCGGTCATTCTCGCAGCGGATTTTGGCTACTCATCGAACAAAGACGGCCACCGCATTGCTCGCTTTCAGATGTGCTTCTGCGGCTGTCTGGAACGCTCTTCCCTCTGATATTAGGAAGCTACTGGAGCCATGCACTTTTAAACCTCGATTGAAACGAATTTCTTTTAGAGCTGCTTTATGCATTAAGTTTGTTGCCCTTCAAGTAGCATGGTTGGCTTTGTACGATGCGAAATAAGTTTTACATCCATACAAAGCGATGGCACTTGTCCTGACTGATCTCATCACTCCATCTGTGTGGTAGACGTACTCCCGAGGGTGTTCCCTCATTTGAATGCCAGTCCGTCATTTATCTCAACCACCCGCCTTCATGTTTGCCAGTGATGTGTCCTGCCTGAACCCACTTTTCTTAGTCTACATGACTCTTAATTTGCATATATTCTCTGATCCATGTGTTAGTCGTAAACTCTGACCCCGTTGTTTTATTGTCGGTGGCTACAATTCACCGAAATTGGCGTGTGGTTATAAAGCCACTAACAACTCGCCTATCATGCACAGTGACGAAGGCTGTATTGCTACTGCGAACCATACATTTACAAGTCTATTGTTGGAATAAGCAGTACTCGGTCATAAAAATAAATTTGCGGGCAGGCTATTGTAACTCACCGAAAGGAAAGCACGGATGCCAACACACGCTATTGATGTACAGTTTATTGTTTTAAATAACCGTGCCGACAAGGTTCTTCAACAGAGTCGTTATTTAACAGCGTGCGCTGCTAATTTCACACTGTGTCGGCACAAGCATTTTACAGTGTATTTCACACGCAGATAGTTGCGACAGTTTTGACAACCTACATCCCAGGAAATGCAGTCACTGGCCATCCAGCCATGAGGTCACATGGCCTTCAGCTGCCATCGCCAAGTGCATTCGTAAGAATTTGCAGAACGAGTAAATGCCATTTAGCGTCCATGACTCTCTCCTTTGTATATAACCCCCCCTGGTCCGCTCCCATTCGCATGCAGAGTTGCCCCCGACTTGGGTGCCGGTATCCTGCGTTTACGCTCCGCCCCCCCCCCCTCCGCCAGGAATTGCCAACGAGGGCAAGAAGCTGTACGGCGTGCAGTTCCACCCGGAGGTGGACCTGACGCCGAAAGGCAAGAAAATGCTGCGCAGCTTCCTCTACGAGGTGGCGGGCTGCAGCGGCCTCTACACTGTGCAGAGCCGGCAGGCCGAGTGCATCCACACCATCCAGCAGCGAGTGGGCACCTCCAAGGTGCTGGTGAGTGACTCGCGTGCACAGAGGTGTGTGGGGGGGGGGGGGGAGGTCAGAGGGAGCAGTCTCGGGCCTGCTTCTGATGGTGACCTGGCCCCTTGATGGATGCGTGGCTACTGAGGTTCCGTGATGTGAGGCGATGGTTCGGGGCGACTCGGAGGGTTGAGGGACACGTGCGAGCACCGTGAGAGCATCGCCCCCCCAGATTAAACTGGGTTATTTTTAAAGGTAAATTTTATCACAATTGCAGATGTTATGCAATGAGAAATAAATTGATAGCAGTGCACCACTTTGTTTGGGAGAATGGTCCTGGAAGATAGAGTCACGGAACTACTGAATTCACTTTTTGTCCAGACTAGGAGCATACAATTCATAACCCTTACACGCAAAGAGTGTTCGGCGCATGGCAATGAAGCCAAATGTTTAGAACTCGCAGACCTGGAATCGGCTGAATTAAGTGAAAAACCTGTATTTACTCTGATGTGCTTCAGCCACCCCTGTGAGTAGGCATTCATAGGCGGTCACTCCCCAACCCCCACCCATCCTACCATTCATACAACCATCACTGCCACGAATACCATCACCACCTGCACCTCGACTACCAGCACTACCACCTCTACCACCACCAGCGGTACCACTAACATCAACACAACTACCGCCCATGCCTGCAACCGCAACCTCTACCACCTACACCGTCGCCATGACTGCCACCGCCACGAGCACCGACACGGCTCTATCACCGCCACCGTCGCCACTCTAAGGCCACACCGGGTGTTTGTGTGGGGGGCCTTGCAGGTGCTACTGAGCGGCGGCGTGGACTCGACGGTGTGTGCGGCTCTGTTGAGCCGCGCGCTGCCCGAGGAGCAGCTCATCGCCGTGCACATCGACAATGGCTTCATGCGGCGGCGCGAGAGCAGCGCCGTGGAGGAGGCACTCAAGAAGCTCGGCCTTAAGGTTACAGGTCAGTGGGGTGGGCGGACGGGCAGGCGGGTGGGCAGGCGGGTGGGCAGGCGGGTGGGCAGGCGGGTGGGCAGGCGGGTGGGCAGGCGGGTGGGCAGGCGGGTGGGCAGGCGGGTGGGCAGGCGGGTGGGCAGGCAGGCGGGTGAGCAGTCCGGCTGGCGGGCAAGCAGGGTTGCTGCTATGTCATTTTTAATCATACGATACGACGCAATTTCAAAGTTTGCGACATGAAGATTATCGCAACGTCAGCTTCCCTTAACTGTGTAATTGTACTCTGAAATTTTATTGTACTGTTTTGCTCGGCTATACACACACAGCATGAGTGGAGATTGATTGAAGGGTAATCGATTGCAATTCACTCCTCTGTTCCCCGTGCCTCCGATTTGCACGGTTGGCTACGTACGGTACGAAAGAAGTTCTGCATACATACATGCAGTGTAATGAATTATCCACCGGGTACCTACACATGGCGTCCATTGCTTGTTGGAGCTCCTTCGTGATCAACATCAACTTTGGGGGAAACAAAGGCAGCTGGTGGGAGTGCGTGGTGCTGACTCCTCGTGTGCTACGCCGGCGTTAACGGGCGCTTGCTGGCACCGATGGCGCCGCCGGCTCTATGTACCCAGGCTGACGGGTGGTGTGCTGTGTCATTGCGCCGTGGCGTCCGTTGCAGTGGTGCGCGCCATGCACACGTTTTACAACGGCACGACGACGTTGCCCATCTCGGAGGAGGACCGCACATCCCGCAAGCGCATCAGCAAGACGCTCAACACCACGAGCTGCCCGGAGGAGAAGCGCAAGATCATTGGCGACACCTTCGTCAAGGTCCGACGGCTGAGCGCTCGCAGCCTTGCCGAACGATAAAGTGGGGGGGTGGGGGGGGAAGCCTCCGGCAGGGGGGGGGGAAGCCTCCGGCAGGGTGTTTTCAAATCCTTGAGATTGAGTCTCTTTGTCGCTGTGGCTGGGTGCCTTTGTGGGTGAGAGTACGTCTGTGGAGGTGTGTCTCTACGACTAGGCTGAGAGTCCGTGTGTGGATGAGTGCCTGTGTTAATGAGTTTGTGTGTGGATGTATATGTGTGTATGCATGTTGAACTTTTTTCGCACCGTACGTAGCCAACTGTGTTCATCGGAGGTGCAAATCGGAATATATGTGTGTATGAGTGTGAGGAGCGGTAGTGTAGCATTTAGCAAGCCATGCCTTGAACCCGGAGACCCGAGTTCGATTTCTTCTCACGGCCAACACCAGTGACGATTATCTGAACCTAGGTCGACTCAGCCTCAAATTATTACCTGGTGCAATGTGTAAGCAATTGTCACTATGTAGACAAAGGTGGCCGGGCTTGGTGCTTTCCACCCCCACCCCCTCGAGCACCATGCCGGCCTTCAAAGGTGCTCACTAGCAGCACTTCCCGCAACAGTGTGTTAAGGCTATACGGGGGAGCTTTGTCTTTGTGTGCATGAGGGCCTTTGTGGCCGAGTGTTTGTGTGGCAGCACTGCTGTCAAGTGCACATGGTGTGTTGTGCAAAATATTCTTAAGCATTTGTGACACGGGTGTGATGTGGTGATTTGTTGTGGCTGGCATGCAGTAATGTGGCTGTGCGCCTATCTGGTTACCTATCCCCCGCGGCTGTGCACGCGTCCGACTCCACGATCGTGGATTTCCATACCAGACATCATGACGCGTCCGTCACACGTGCCCGCCGTGCAGGTCGCCAACGACGTTCTGGAGGAGATGAACCTCAAGCCGGAGGAGGTGTTCCTGGCGCAGGGCACGCTGCGGCCCGACCTCATCGAGAGCGCTTCCCTGCTGGCCAGCGGCAAGGCTGACCTCATAAAGACGCACCACAACGACACGGAACTCATCCGGCAGCTGCGAGACAAGGCACGGCTCCGGGTGGTGGTGTTAGAGAGGGGGGAGGGGGGCGCCCGGCTTATGCCGGCACAATCGTTCGTTGCTTGTTACCTGCCATCGCACGTCGATTGGAAAACACGCACGTCGACAAGTAAAACGGAGCTGAAGCTGTAATATGTGCGCAAAGAAGCGCGGAGAGGGAGGGGAGCCGTGCTTGGAATTGCACTGAGAGACAGCAAGAGGAAAAACATTGATTGGAGAATGACAAAAGTTAAGAGACATGATGGTGTCTGTTGAGTAACGAAAAACTGAACGTATTCGTCAAGAACACTGCCTTATAAAAGAGCGTATAATCGAGCGGCCAGAGAGCACAATTGTAAATGTTGTGGGTTTACTCTCCAACACACCGATGTAATGATCTCACTCAAAACACCTTTATTATAGAGCACACAGAGAGAGGCCACAGAGTTACCTCTCTGGCCTATCTCTGTGCTGTGAATAAGCGGCATTGCCCAAAATGTCGCTTAAGCCATACTTTATTTTAAGGCAGTGTTATAAGATTAGGTTTGACCCTTTCTGGCAATAAAACAGGTGTTAAGATGTTAAAACACCAATCTGAAACCTTTTGCAAGGAATTATATCTGCTTAAACCACATATATTCGTGGTGAACATGCATTGTCTTTAAAACTGATTGGTCCACACCAGATTTCTTTAGAGCCTCGTCTCAAACAGACAAGTGCTGTTCCATTGTTTACTTCACCGTAGAGAAACTGAGCTTCGATATCACTTATTGCGCCGTGGCAGCGTTGTTGTTGCCGCCGCCGCTCATGTGTCTCGCCGTTACCGTTGCTCACGCTCGTTCCCTGATCCGCCACCCAGGGCCGGGTGGTGGAGCCTCTGAGGGATTTCCACAAGGACGAGGTGCGGGCGCTGGGCCGGGAGCTGGGCCTGCCCGAGGAGATCGTGTCGCGACATCCATTCCCAGGTTCGCGCCACTATGGCCACCAACATCCGGGGTGCCCGCGTGCATCGGTCAGAAAATTTGGGATTTATGCCGTGAAGGACTGGATGGCTCGCAGATTGGAGAGTGATGAGCTGGGATTTATGCCGTGGGGGGCTGGGTGGCCCTTGGTTCCTTTCCCTGCGGTGAGCTTGCTTTTACTGCCGTGCGATGAATGTTGCCCTCAAGTTGCAGTGTGAGTGGGAAAGTGCTGCATCCCACGGTCCATCTGCTCATGATCTGCTTGTGCGCAGGACCCGGGCTGGCGATCAGAGTGATCTGTACGGATGAGGCGTACATCTGCAAGGATTTCCCCGAGACGAATCTCCTCTTAAAAATCATCACGGACTTTGCTGCCAGCATAAAAAAGGTGTGGCCCCCAGCCCTGCCGTTCGGACTGCGCAACGCGCCCTTCCCACTCGCGCGATAAGTGTGTGGCATGGTGCAGGCACGGATGTCAACTCCTGGTCACGCAACAGCTGTGGCATTTGGCCACGGTCCCCCCATAGGGTGCCGCGGTGGCGAGATGTTAATGACCTCGCCTGGTATGCAGGAGGTCGTGGGTTCGATCCTGACCCTGATGCCTTTATATTTGGGGTTTGCATGTCTCTCTCCCTATGGTCGCGTGGATTTTTCTCCCGGTTCTCCGGTTTTTCCCTCCAAATTTAGAAACACGGATTTAGAGTATTTGGCTGCTATAAATTTCCACATCATAAGCCACTTCATTGGGCTGTCATTTGTGGCCAGGTCGCTTCTCAAAAAGATCTACGCAGATCTCTCCGTACACCTATCCTGTTAGCGCCCACATTCTCACTCGCCCCTGCCATCCCTTCCCTTGCCCTCTTGCGTGTGCCCTCGCTCTCCCTCCTCCCACAGCCTCACGCGTTGCAGCAGAAGGTGAAGGACTGCACGACAGAGGACGAGCAGGAGAGGCTGACGGAAATCACAGGACGAAACTCGCTGCACGCCTTCCTGCTCCCTGTCAAGTCCGTGGGCGTGCAGGTCTGTACACACTCACACAAAAGAGGCACACAGACGTTTGTTCATTTGAGTGACGGGGTGTTAATCAGCAGCATGACATTTTTTTTATTTTGCTCAGGGAGACACACTCACTCTGGGGTGGGTGCTGGGTTTCAGATGCTAAACTATAAAGAGTATGAGCTATTTTTTTTTTTACCAGTTAAGGCCCGCTGAGCTAATAAGGCTCTTTTTCAGAAGCGAACTGGCCACAAATGATCGCTCATCGAAGTATCTATGGGGATAATGATGCAAACTCCAAATACATATTATGTGTTCATGGGGAGGTTGGTGAGTGATCCAGTAGTGGACGGTTTAAGGAGTAGCCTGGTAAATATCTGAAACGCTGCTGGCGAATGACCGAATGGGGCAGTTGGCGGTATTATGTGGTCCATGGTTGGAGATTAGTCACTCCGGAGACGCACTGTTGGCTCGTCTTAATTTGCACATCGGCGTAAGAGATGGACGCATTTGCCGTGTGATGTTCTGATGCGGTTCAGCACAGGAGCCTTTTATTAAACTTCGATTTAGCGTGATGATTGGGCATCGGCGGTGTTGTGTGGTTGACGTGGGCACTGGCGCATGGAACAACATGATGGGCAACGTCATAAATCTTTTATGCTTTTGAGACTGGTGGCTATTGGGGCCCTGGTGTAGCCTAGTGGGAGCGAGTATCCTACGACTACCGATGGTAGTTAGGCCTACAGGAGCCTTTGCCACCACAAGAGGGTAGTGGCATCCTGGATAAATAATGGCATTACTCAAGACAGATGAGCCATCGATGGGTTAACTGCATCCACAATTGCTGACAGATGAATACCTGCTTCATAGGTGCGCTCTTCAGAGTCCAACCAGCTACGCAGCACCACGCAACCCTACAATGTGGCATCGTTGCCAGCGTTTCTGATGACCTCGACGATCACCTGGCCTTAACTGGTTGTGGCGTGCGTGCTCGCACATGCAGGGAGACTGCCGCACCTACAGCTACGTGTGCGGCCTCTCCTCCAAAAGCCCCGTGCACTGGAAGTCACTCTTATACCTTGCCAAGCTCATCCCCAGGATATGCCACAACATCAACCGGTGAGGAACACGGGCCCCTCCACACTAGCACCATTTCATCATGAACTCCCGTGCGTGCCGTTGGCTGCTAGGCAGACGGCGTGAGGCTCAGGAGTGGATAGGGGATATCTCTGCACCTCTGATTAGCACGGTTGGTTATGTGCGGTGCGAAAAAAATTCAACATGCATACATGTGCCAATCTGTTACTGTGAATTAATAAATAACACCTCCCTCCCCCCAGCTGTGATTGGGTGAATTGTCGCGATTCACGGTCACGATTCGTTTAAAATATAAGATCCTATTTAGTTTTTTGTCCCCATGCTGCATTGAGAATATAGTGGCAGTTGGGTTTCACTGAGCCTATATATATATAAGTTTGGTTTTAAGTTTATATAAACCTACCCTTCCTGCACATCTATGCAAAAGAGCTTTATAGCTCCTCGGATTCCTCCAGTATAAAGATTCTTATTCTGATATATGAAATAGGTGGAAGCTGTGACGCAGTGGTTAGCAAACTGTGCTATGAACCCTGCCAATTGAGGTCGTGCTGAGGGCCCAATGCTTTGTGGCAAAGTCGCCTGAAGCCAGATGGTCGTACCGATGAGTCTATAAGAGTGGACAAGTACGAGGTACTGGGTGTGTTAACAGCGCAACAACTACGAGGTCTGGCAGAAAGACAAAAAGGCGATTGTGTGGTGCGGTGGCATCAGCGGGATTGGCCGTAGATATGACCTCTTGATCCGTGACTTATCTATTTTTATTTTACCTGGTAAGGCCAACTGAGCTACATCGCTATTTTTCAGAAGCAACCTGGCCACAAATGATAGCTCAACGAAGTGGCTTATCATGTGGAAATTTATGGCAGGCAAATAATCTTAAACGCATGTTGATTCTAAATGTGGAGGGAAAAACCGGAGGACCCGGAGAAAAATCCACGCGGCTATGGGGAGAGAGACACACAAACTCCAAATATACAGCAGGCGTCAGGGTTGGGATCGAACCCACGGCCTGCTGTATGCCAGGCGAGGTGGTTAACGTCTCGCCACTGTGGCGCCCCTTGACCAGTCCTTGACCAGTCCTCCCCGACTGGACAGGCCGTGAGTTTTTCCACGTTTTCCTTCGCTACCCATTCCCCCCCCCACCCCTCCGCCACTGACCAATGTGCTCGCTGCCCATCATCGTCGTTGTGTCCCCGTGGGCAGGGTGGTGTGCGTGATGGGGGATCAGGTGAGGGAGCCACCCACGGATGTGACGCCCACCTACCTCACCTCGGGGGTGCTCAGCACGCTGCGGCAGGCTGACCACACGGCGCACACCATCCTGAGGGAGTCTGGTGAGCGTGAAGCCGGGTTGTGTGCAGGCGTGGGGCATCTTGCTGGACGCACAACGGCCGTTATACGGGCTGGAGTATGTATGTTTAGATTATTTGGTGCCGTAAATTTCCACATGATAAGCCATTTTGTTGAGCTATCATTTGTTGCCAGGCTGTTTCTGAAAAAGCTGTATAGCTCAGTGGGCCTTACCTGGTAAAAAAAAAATTGTTTATACAAAAGATTTATAGGGAAGAACAGAAGTAGATGGGTCCAATAACAGCACCGACGATGAGCACGGTTGGCTATGTACGGTGCAAAAGAAGTTAATCATACAACAGTAGCAGTCGTAATGAGTGGTGGGCAGCCAAATGATAATGCAAACTTATGGCACGAAAGAAAGAAACAAAAGAGAAAGTGGGCATATGGGAGATTATTGACATGTATTTGTGCGTGTTTATATGGGTGTTTGTTTTTCAATGTGTGTGCTTGTGTGTGTGCGCCGTGCCTCTGATCAATAACGGCGGCGAATATTTTTACTGGACCTGGGCCTCCCCCAGGTCGGCTCGGCCTCAAACGAGTACCTGATGTAGTGTGTAAACATTGCCACTGGGCAGACAAAGGCGGCCAGCTGCGATCCTGGCCACCCACCCCCCACCCCCTCGTGTGCCACAGTGCCGACATTTGTAGGTGCTTGCTCAGAGCACTTGCCCCAACAGTCTGTTAAGGCTACATGGGGGGGGGTGGATCTTTGTCTTTGTGCCTCCACGCAGGCTACACGAGCAAGCTGAGCCAAATGCCGGTGATCTTGGTGCCGCTGCACTTTGACCGCGAGCCGCTGCTCAAGCTGCCCTCGTGCCAGCACTCGGTGGTCGTCCGCACCTTCATCACCAACGACTTCATGACAGGGACGCCCGCCCTGCCCGGCAAGCACCTGCCTGAGGAGGTGTGCACCCTTTGTGGGATCGTGAAGAGCGGACCGAGTTGTGCGACTCGCGTGCCCAGTAAACACCGCGTGCCCGAGCAGCTTCTGTGTGGCGGGATAGAGGGGGGGGATAAACGGGTGTGGGCACGGCTGGAGCAGGGGTCGGCAACTTTTCAAAGAAGAAGATACTTTTTTTTTGTCTTTGGTCAAAATAGTTTGAGGGCCGCGTTGCACGCAGAGCTACTTGTACACAAACACAGCAGCAGGTGAACAGCAAGATGACCCAACAAATTATTACTTAAATATATTTGGTGATGGAATAAGTTGCGTCTATTTAGTTCCCCCCCCCCCCCCCCCGAGTTATTCTTTGACAATAACAGTTTGACTGTTGCACATGTTGTAGTCAAAGACAATCCATCGTGACCCATTTCCCTACCATTTTTTAAAATCAATTATCTTAATATTAAATCATGTTTAACATTTAAGTAAAATATGTATGTTGTTGATCTACTTTCGCGCCGTATGTAGCCAACTGTGAAACAGAGGTGCAGCGAAAGGACAACAGAGGAGATGGGCTGATAGTGGTGCAGGACTTGCAGCTGAACAGACTTTGCCTATGACTGGTACCAGCTGTTTCAAGATCAGCTTCGATGGAAAAGGCTCAGTTGGAGGCAGCTGCCCATTGGCTACAATAGAGGAAAAGGCACTGCATCATCTCTGCCTGAGTAGAGTTGCGACTTTACAATTGTGAGTTAATCGTTCTGCCACAGTGGCCACTCATTGGAAGGTTGCTCATCCTCCTCTGCTGCCAATATGGTCTCCCTTCCTCCAGCCATCTGTCGACTCCCCTGCCCTTTGTCGAAGTCCAGGCTCAAGACCTACATCTTTACCTCTGCCTATGACCGACCGTCTCTCTAAATCAAACACGCCCACTGTGTCTGTGAAGCATCTTGAGACGCGGTTGCATTTAGACGCTAAATTGTGTGAACAGCTGTGTGTGTGCGCTTTGCCATTTTAGCAGCATTAATTTAACGGTTAACGTGGGACGTCCGTCCGGCAGGTGGTGTACAAAATGGACGAGGAGATCCGCAAGATCCCGGGCATCTCTCGGGTGATGTACGACCTGACGGCCAAACCTCCTGGCACCACGGAGTGGGAGTAGCGCCGGCGACGGCTTGAAAATCCTCACCGACTCAATAATAAAATACCACACATTCTCAGGCCCTTTCATTGTTCGAATGGATGTACAGGAGTGCATTGTGTATTTTAGTTTTTAATAACTCTGTGTTATTATTCTCTTGTCTGTTTTTAAAGTGCAGAGGCAGAGTGAGTAAGGGGGGGGGGGGTGATTGGGTACGGGGTGAGAGGTGCACACGTGGTGCCTATTATTTTTGCAAACCGCAGAGCTGGGATGGGTACGTGTTTTTTGCCAGTGAGCTTTTTGTTTTTGTGCGCATTGTTGCGCCCCGCTCACCGAGATATCGAACTCAGTGTTTGTCGCGAATTAGTCCCGGGAAAGTCAAGAGGATCACATTTTCTAAATGACGTGGCAAGCTTGACTCTCTATGGTTTTTATCTACAGGACTCATGTTGCTTGTGTCCGCAAAACTGTATGCAGCAGAACATGAGATGGGACGTTTATAAATCTACAAAGTCCCAAACGTAGCGCTGCTGTTCCTGCATTGGCTTTATAAAATATATATAATAAAGTGAATTCAAAAGTGCCGAAAGTTACAGAATGTTCGATGGGAAAATTGAATGTTGCCAAGAAAGACATGGACGCATATAATATTACTTTATCCCCAATTTAGCCTTACATATCATCATCCAGGCACATATTGTTAGTGAGTGCCTATGAAGGGCCAACAGGGGTGTTATGGCAAGGACCACATCCACCCTCCTTTGTCTCATCAGTTCTGACCTTTGCAGAGCACCGCGTGCACTGTCATGCAAACCACTGCTCCACAATTTACACGCCCGTTGGAGGGTTGACATAGAAAGCTCGGCTATGAGCATTCCTCGGTAAGTTCAGCACAAATAAATGGCCAGTGCCACAGTGTTATTTTCAGGACTGGGAAAGACAAAGGCTGCCAGGGCCTGGCATGTTGCCACATGCCTGCAAATTGGTGCTTTGAGAAACCATTGCAAGAATTGCGGGGCGACCATGCGGTGTGACGGTGCAGCAGCGAGGGTTGTGTTGTATCCCCGCGTATGCCATGGGTCTTTTGATTTCGTCCCACCTTGCAAGACGCCCATAATTGGGAGTGACCAAACAGCCCCCGCAGGAGCCTCCGGGAGAAGCTCTCGAGACTCTGGGACTTTCCGTTATAAAATAACATGGTCATCTTTTTGTATTATATTGCTGGTGACATGACTAGTCCCTTGTGTTAATCATGCAAGCCTTAATAGGTGCTCGCTAACATTTTATTGGAGGATCGTATTTCACTCGCATACACAGGGACCATGGTTTTGGTAGATGCCCTTAAGGTATTATGGGGTAGGGCTGAACAAAGTTGGTCACTACTGACGCCCTTATTTTGCAAAGTCTTTAATTAATGCTGATTAACAATAAAAGTTTAAAACTGAAAGAAGTCCTGTTATTTATCGTATCGTGCTAAATCTATATTCTTTGTTTAGCTATCATGGTTTGGGCGCCACACTGGCGAGATGTTAACTACCTCGCCTGGTATACAGGAGGACGTGGGTTCAATCCCGACCCTGACGCCTGCTGTATATTTGGAGTGTGTGTGTCTCCCTGTGGTCGTGTGGATTTTTTCCAGGTCCTTCGCTTTTCCCCTCCACAGTTAGAATTAACGCGCGTTTCGAGTATTTGGCTGCTATACATTTCCACGTGATAAGCCACTTCGTTGGGCTGTCATTTGTGGCCAAGTCGCTTCTGAAAAAGAGCTGTGTGGCTCAGTGGCGCCTTACCTGGTAAAATAAAAAAATGCTTTTAGATTATTCTTTTTGCCTTTTTATAATACATTTAATCTCTGATGCTACCTTTTGAGCCCCTCCACAGGGCACTTGGGCCACGCGTTAACAACGTGCCGGTTGTGTGTGGGGTGGGGGCTCACCCAATTGAATTCACCGCAGCTGGAACTACCGAAATACAGGAGGATTGAGTACCGTGATGTGATGTGTCCAAACTGGGGAGGGGGGTCTACTATCTGAGGAAAGGTTAATCTTATTGCAATGGGAAAGTCATGTTTTATACATGTTACATATACACATGGTTTGTTTGGGTAAAGAGATTAATCTTGATTTGAAGCTTTCGTGACTGCAGGAATCCATACTCTGGTTCTTTCGGTAAAGTCACGTAGCTAGAAAATAAAAGAAATGACGTTTCGAAAAATATAATTTTGAAGGCAGTTTATATTTTTTCTGCCTGAAGACGACCGCTTGTGTTGCCATCGAAACGTCGTGATTTATTTTATTTTATACCCACGTGACTTTACCGAAAGAACCAAAGAGTCGAGATAGATTAAGTTTAACCTCGATAGGAAAAGGCAGTTTCTTCCATTCTACTTCGTTGCATGGAGTAAGCGTTTGCCCCCATCCAGCCCTGTCAGCATTCATGGCTTTTCTTATTCTCCCGTGAGAACATGACAGCTGGGTGCTTGTGAACGAGCAGGGCTGTGTTGAGAGAAATACGAGCGATGTATGGAATTGAGTAAAGGTAGAGAGCCGTGGAACAAGCTGTAATAAATCACGTGGTGCCGGTTATCCAGTCTCGGCCAAACTTTCTTGCACCGGAACAGGACAAGCATCACCCACCTGCCTTGTCAATCGGCTAAAATACATTGCGAATAAATGATACTCAAGATGAAGAAGGTGTAATCATGACAGAAGCCGCAGCTGCTGCACAGTCGACCTGCAACCTCCCAAAGTTTTGCCCGAGCAGTATCCCATCTCCTGGACTTGCCCCTTGGGTTATCGGACTTGTCGAGGCCACTCCCGATCCCGGTCTTGGCAGTCGGCCGCTCCTCCCTTCCTGCACCACCGGATAGCAAGGTTGGCTACGTACGGTGCAAAAGAAGTTCACATGTCTCACGCAGCACAACCGTTTTTGCCACGTTCTCTTCCAGGCGTGTGCATTGCTTATCCCGTCCTGCCACGAAATTCCGAGCATTCATCTGGGACGCCTGTGCTCAAATGCTACAATTGTTTTTTTTTATTGTTTTGGATGTATGTACGTACAAGTATGTTGAATTTCTTTCGCACCGTGCGTAGCCAACCGTGATAATCGGATGTGCGGGGGAATGACAACAAACAAAACAAGAAGCAGTTCTAAAATATTATTTATTTTTTCATTCTAGATTTAAAAGTGCGTCGCTTTAGTGGCTTCCGAATATCGGAAGGAAGAGCGTTCCAGACGGCCGCAGAAGCGCATCTGAAAGGGCGCGATGCAGTGACCGTCTTTGTTCGATGGTTAGCCAAAAGCCACTGCGAGGATGACCGGAGTTCGCGTGCTAGTTTATGCCCCTTGAGATTAGCAAGGCATTGTGGTCCATTTGTGGCAAGCATTTTGTGTGTAATGAGTGCGGCCTCTCATCCATCCATCACTCCTGACTCACACCCCACCCTTGACTCCGATTAATCTCTCGTCTCCAAAGTGCTAATGAATGATCCTCGGTCATGTATATGTTAAAAACCAGCAACTCTAAACAAAGAACCGGAATTTACCCTCTGATCTTAAGGAATGTGTAACTGCTGGGGGCTTGTTTTCGCACTTTTCCGGGTCGCTGTATGGTAGAACAGAGTCGGCACGTGGATAGCAGTTACAGCTATATGAAGAGGGTATACTGTATGTGGTGTACCGGGTACATACATTTTCTGGTCTTTCTGAAATGAAGACTTGATTACAACTAACACAATTGCTGTAACGGGATTACTACTGCTCTACCAACATTAGAAGCATGTACACCACACTGTAAGATGCTGATATTTTGCCCAGGCCAAATTCGAATCCGAATATGTATTTATACTAGAGGAATATTTTGCTGGTACCGCCTGAGGTTGCATAGCTTTAGTGGTTCGAATTTCGTTGTGGCCAATAACAGCGAATTATGTGATAAACCATTATCCAAAACTCCACTCTTATTGGTGGTGAGATGTTCGCTCCATCGCCCGGTATACAGGAGGTTGTGGGTTCGAACCCGACCCTGACACCTGTATATTTGGAGTTTGCATTTTCTCCCCTCGGTCGCGTGGATTTTTCTCCGGGTCCTCCCGAGTTTACCCTCCACGTTTAGAATCCATGTACGTTTAGAGTTATTTGGCTGCGAAAAATGTCCGCGTGATAAGCCACTTTGTTGGGCCATCAATTGTGGACAGGTCGATTCTGAATAAGAGTTATTTTTCCCAGTGGGCCTTACCTTGTAAAATTAAATTAAATAATAATAAAAAGCCTACGTGTTAAACTTAAATGTAAAAAAATTGTCGTTTTTATTTACAAGGGGCATGACTAAAGTTGTGTTACGTTTGAGGTGGTGCCATTATCTTCTCTGGCCCACGGACTATTCGTCAGTCCTGTGGCGTTATCACCAGCACCACGTGTATGTTGGAACTTCGTTCGCACCGTACGTAGCCAACCGTGCTAATCGGAGGTGCGTTCGCGAGCCGTGCCAACCATTCGCAGCATCTGCAGTTGGAGATCACCGCTGTGGGGCCTGACGGGGTCACCGCTGGAAGAAAACAAAGCATCAGCCTCGTCTACGTTTGCTTTAACGAGGTAGAATTATGAATGACGTGTCACGGTTTTTAAATATGCAGTATCCGGAGCTGGAACGCGCCACTGCCGGAGCTCAGCAAACCAGAAGCGACTGCCAACCCTAAATCATAGTCAACACAAATAATAGAAGCTGACGAGTCGCCTCCTCCACACATCTGTCTTTTCACGTGATACCTACACGGGGGTGTACCCTACCCACCCCATCAGCCACATGGCCTTTTGTTGGGAGTGTATAATTTCAGCAGAATTGGTTTTCTACATGGTTTCGACATTCAGCACAGTGTTGTTATTTCCCATGTGAATTTATATTAATGTCAGAAAAAAATGATCGGCACCACATTAAAGCATCAGCTCTCACACCTGTGGCCGCGGTGACGCTGGAGGGCCGCTCAGGTGAGCACAGGTACGCGGGGGCTGGCCCCCGTAGCTCCCAGGGGCTCGGTTGTGCTCCGCGAAGATGGAGTTCTGGCTTGGGGGTTCCAAACCCAAGTCGCCTAACTGGAGTCGAACCCGCCGCGTGGATCTCGGGGGCGACCTTTAACTGGAGCTGTGGGGGCTCGGCGCTCGGAGCCCGAGACCCCGCACGTGGAATAAGACCCAACGCACATGGAGCTAACAACTATCCGCTCAAGCTGCGAATAGTTGTTAGGTCCAGTCCTTTGATTCCTTCTACGATGGGACACAACTGCCCGGTGGGAAACAAAAATTCACATTGTACGAATTTGATCACAAATTAAAAGGGAGCAAAAATTATCGCGGCTCAAGCTTATTCTCAATCACAAATGTGAATGTTTGTTTTTAAACGTTGATGTTGGTTGGAACATCATCCGCCTCGTCATCACGGGGGTGGGGGGAGCTCATTCCGATCTTGGGCTGTACGAGTCAGAAAAGCGGTCTTCTTCTGCATCACAAATCACGTGTTTTAGAAAATGATGTCGTTATCATGCTCCAGTCTGTTGAATGTTCATCTTAAGTTCAGTCCAAACTCCATTTGGTGTCGATTCCCAGACATGCATTTCAGTCGGCGGTGAAGTCTACGTGTAGATGGATAATTAGGTTAATGAGTTTGTGAACCAAGCCAATGTTTTTTTTTTAAACGTAGCAATGGCATATTTTAGAACCTCGGGCCTTGCTATATCAGGGATACATCAACGACTCTTGCTTTATAGGCCCTTATTCCTTTCATATCCTTTGCACTCAAATCGTTTGTTTCTATTGATTGTTGTTGCAACGTACCGACCCGCCCCTACTGCAACAGAGCTTTATAGCTCATCGGATTTGTCAGGGATAAATAAAGATTCTGATTCTGAAATATGACCTCATCATGCACCCTCCCAGTACGCCTTGCGAACCAACCAGCATCAAGGCAGCATCCGTTTAAACAGATCGACCCTGGGCCGGTCTGGGTTTGATGAGCAGCCCCTGTGGATCAATGTTGGGCTGGGCGGTGGAGCGGTCAATCCGAGGTAGCCAGATGTTCACTACCTCGCCTGGTACACAGGAGGTCGCGGGTTCGATCCCCACGCCTGCTGCTGCTGTATATTTAGAGTTCACGTCTTTCTCCCCGTGGCCGCGTGGAATTTTCTCCGGGTGCTTCGGGGTTTTCCCTCCACGTTTACGATTAACATTACGCGCTCAGAATTGATCTGGCTGCTCTACATTTCCGCATGACGACAAGCCACTTCGTTGGCCTTTCATTTGTGGCCAGGTCGCTTCTAAAAAAGAGCTGTACAGCTCAGTGGGCCTTATAATAATAATCAATAATCAATCAACAAAAGTGCCGTTTTTAGTTTACGCGTCGCCACAGCTGCCACTAGAGGCGGCGATGGCGCAAAATACGACGATCGCGACAAGAATCATTGTCGTCGAAGGGAGCCCGTTGTTATTCCACGAGACCGCAGTGTGACAATGGGAGCAGAAACTGATACAACATCGAAACAGAATTCTGCCACAAGCAATCATGTCACAGCAGGAGTTAGGGGCCGTCCATAAATGACGTCACGCACCTAGGGGGAGGGGGGGGTCAGATATTTGTGACGATGTGTGACGAGGGGGGGGGGGGTTGAGAAATGTGACGTCACATCAAAATGCGCAACTTTAGAATTGTTATAACACTAATTGTTATAACAACACTCCTACAACATCAGAGTGCAGCGCCACATTAAATACGCACTACAATGACAATAGTTTAAAGCGATTTGAAGCGTGTTTTATTTTCAAAATGGAAACATGGTTTTGGGGGGGCAGAGCTTTGTGACGTCATATTTGAGGGGGGGGGGGGGTTCTGACTTTTTGTGACGCCGTGTGACGCGAGGGAGGGGGGTCAAGAGTCATCAAAAATCGCGTGACGTCATTTATGGACGGCCCCTTAAGGACGGGGCGTGGAGGGGGACGCAAGGACACGTGGGACACCGGGTGGTATTCACTCTGGACGCAGCAAGCAAGAGTGAGGCTTCGCATTGCGGATACAAATCGCATTTACAGACTTGTAAAGTAGGAGCCGACACCAGATTGCAGGGGTCTCGTCCTTTATTCCTTTCCTTCCATCCACATCTGTCCCCCAGCCGTCCCAATCTCGTTCCCGCCAAAGGCCCCTTCTTCCCGCCCGTTCTCTCCTTATATCTCCTCGATCACCCCTCCCACTAACCCATCTATTGGTGGGAATCCTTCCCCTGACACCCCTACATCACCCCCCCCCCCCCCCCCCCGGAGAAAAAATAACCGTCCTCGGTTCTGCCTCCCCCATGGACCATTTAAATCTCCCCATGCCTCCCACCACTGACAGTGACGACAGCCCTTACCCCCCCCCCCACAACCATACAATGCAACATAACACAACGAAATCAATTGCGCGGCCTGCCCAGGTCTCCAGCCAGCATCCCGTAACAGCCCGGACATCCACAGGCAGCAGATGACCGTGGCGGCCCCCTCCTTCGAAGGCCCTCTCGTCGCGGTCCCTGGTTCGGTGGTGCCGGTGTCGCCTTGCCTGGCGCCGCTGTCTCTCCGGCCCCCGCTCGTGCTGCCGCTCCGTCAGGCCTCACATGGGGTGCTGTAGGTGACAACGGAACACAGGGCACCGAACCCCCTGCCGGTTGGCGCGTGGTGCTCGGCGACCTTGGCCTGGGTAGGGATGATGATGATGTTGGCAGTGATGTTGGTGGTGATGTTGGTGAAGATGACGGTGGAGAGATGTATGGCTTAAGGCGGGTGGGGTGTACAAACCATCGTCGCTTACCCAGTTGGACCTGGACGCACTGCGGTCGGAGTGCTTTAATGACCTCGACCGGCCCTTTCCAGGGTCGGTGCAGCTTTGGTGAGAGGCCAACCGGCACCTGAGGACAGTGTAGCCATGCCTAGTCCCCGACTTTAAAGGGCTTGGCTGTCACTGTCCTCTCCCGTATCCGTACATTACTCTCTTGGCTCGTGGCCGATGCGGCCTCGGCTGCTTGGCGGGCCTCTCTCAAATAAATGAGGGAGGTCTTTAGTGCCTTCGGCCATGCATCGGCTCTTGCGGGAATGTCCGTCAGCTGCACCTCAATAGGCGGAACGGGATCCCGTCCGTACATCAGGAAAAACGGCGAGAACCCCGTCGCCGCGTGTGGGGCCACCCTGTACGCCGCTAAGACAGATGGAATGTGGAGGTCCCAGTCGGAATGGTTTTCGTCCACCACTTGGGACAGCATGGCCGCTATGGTGCGGTTAAGCCGCTCTACCATCCCATCGGTCTGGGGATGATACGGAGATGTTCGGACCTTTTTAGTGCCCAGGATAGAGCAGACGTCCTTCAATAGCTGTGAGGAGAAATTCCTGCCCTGATCCGTGAGCAACCGCTCCGGTGCCCCCTTATCAAGGACATAGCCTCCCACGAAGGCATCGGCGATGGTCTGTGCCGTTTGGTCCGGGAGGGCCCACGCCATCGGCCACCTCGTGCAGTACTCGACTCCGACCAACAGGTATTTATTTCCCCGTGGCGTGACCGGCAGTGGTCCCAGGATGTCCAACGCAACCAATTCGTTGACCCTGGTCACCGTGATGGGCTGTAGGGGCGCCCGGCTTAACCGGGGTGGCGGCTTTCGCCGCGCACATTCGACGCAGGTAGCGACACATCGATGCACGTCAGCGGTCATACCTGGCCAAAAGTACCGACTCTGTAATGTGTACAGTGTCTTCCGCCCCGCCAGGTGCAGCAGCTGGCGGCCGTGTACGTCCATAACCAATTGTTGACGCAGCGACTCCGGAACTACCAGGCATCGTCGGCGCCCTGTCGGGTCCCATCGCATGAGGAGGTCCTCCCATACGATGTACTCCTCCCCCCCTGCCTCTGCTGAGGCGCGTAGCGTTCGCAGTGGGGCTTCCTCCAGCTGTAGCCGTCGCCAATCGTCCAAGATCAGCCCCAGGTCGTGGTCGGTCAGCTGGACCTCACCCTGTGCGTCCTCCGCCGTGCGTACGGGAGCGATGACTGTCCCCTCCGGCCTCGCCTCCTTGCAGCGTGCCCCGCCTGTAGTGCATGCACA